AAGATTATTAATTTACCCCTTTTAGAAGTGTAGTTATGGTAATTTGTTCTGGGAATGTCATTTTCTAGCCTGAGACCTGAAAAACAGGCTCAGGGCTTAATAGGTTAAGAAAGTATCTCGATGCTTGTCAGAATGCTGAAGAAAAATGGGAGTAGATTGTCGGGTCTCACCCCAATTCATACCCGAGATGAGACCGCAGGTGGGCCCACACCGCAGGTGGGCCCACACCGCAGGTGGGCGTGGACTGAATGTATTTTAGTGCTGCCCGGTAGGGCTGTGCATCTTCACTGGTCTCACGATTCGATTCGATTACGATTATCCTGTCAACGTTTCGATTCAATTCGATATCCCGATGCATCACGATTCATACCAATGCGTTGCATCCTCAATTTTCTATATTACTGCACATGGCTTATTTTTCATCAATGCATACATGCAGTAAATACATATGAACTCTCTTTTTATTATTTAGAAAGTGCTTCAGAAATCAATAACATAAATGTCTTGACATTAATTTATAAACCAAAATAAATTTATTGTATATGTCTAGCCTCCCTATATCTGTGTGTGAAGTTGTTCCATCCTCAAAAACAAAAAACTAATGCTTCTGCAGTCTAGCTGCAGCTTCTAGCAACGGTCTTCTGTTAAAAAAAGGACACTGAATGTCCTGAATGTGGCATCACACACAGGACTTGAGTCTGAACACAGCAGACAACAGGAGTATTTACAACAGCATATACAAACAAAAATACTGCATGTGGGTGCACACTTACATTCTCTGTCTTACTGTTACATAAATCCCATGAATGTATGAGATTAAGTTAGCTTCATTATATCTCAATCAGTGATTAAGTGAATAATAAAGTTTCTATCGGGTCACTATCAGCCTGTCACTCATTATTTTCAGGGAGGGGGCGGGGTTTGGAGGAACGGAGAGGAGACGGTGATCGCGGAAGCTTTTTTCCTCCTGCCTTCACAAACTTTACACACGTATATAATAATATCCTGAAAATTGCTAGAGGACATTCATACTCTGCAATCCAAGACTTAATTAAATCCACCAAAAACCTGACATGATTGTAACGCGATTATTTTTGAAAAACATAAATCCTTGTGTCTCTGAGCCGCAGCGACACGGAGTGATTCAGAGCGGGTCCTTCTGCTGTTGGTTCTGGACTGGTGTTCTTGTGTTGGTGGATAAAGCAGACTGCTCCGTGTTTGGTGCCGCTGTCACGTATGTTCCCTGATCTCTGCGTCACCGACCGATTTGATATTAAAGTGACAGAAAAAAAAACATTATAGTAAAGCCGCGGCCGGAAAATCAGGAAGCAACGTTACGACGCTATAATCGGTTATCTTCCGTCACTGCATCGAGACCGAATCGTCCACGTCCGCATCGCAATGCATCGTAGAAACGATTATTTTCCCCTACACCCCTACTGCCCGGATTCGCGAGGGATAAACCCAATATCGATAGCCTTAGAGGGTAAAGCCTATACGAAATAGAACAGTTTGGTTTTGGTTCCCTGCTGGTGCTAGTTTGTTTCGCAGTTAGTTCAACGTGCTAACCAGTTTCATTTTCGTGGTGGCGCTTCATGATTCATCGATTTTGTCCCGGAAGTTCTGGCTAACGCTGCCCACAACAACAACAACAACAATTGCGGACTGCGTCGGGTCAATTCTCATGTTGCTTTTACAAAGCCAGATTAAATGAACACACTGCTGCTGTAACAAAATAATTTCCCAATTCTCAGAGTCACACTGAGAGGCTTTGCCTCTGATAACTAGAGATCAGGTGAGGTAAAGGACTCTGAGTGTTTAGATAATCAAAACTTGAGTCCAAGTTATTTCAGTGGTTCTGAAACGTTTTGGTCACCATTTATGTAAACGGGAATTTCAAAGCCACACCTTTTATATAATGATTATAGTTATAAAAAAAACAATACAAACAGATGAAATAATTCCATGAATACTATAGGACAATAATACAAATATATAGTTTTAAAGGGTTAGTAAAACAAATTTGGACTTGGTAAAATAAAACAGTTAAACTTGAAAACTGCTGCTTAACAGGAGGGGGAGAGAGAAGAGGCTCCGAGACAGATTTAGGAGCCCAGACACTCACAACTACTACAACAAAAATAAACCATTTTAAATTATTTGTTATTTGCTATGGTATTTTTTTGGGATGATTATTTCATATTCTAATGTTTCTTTGATTATTAAATTATATACAGATCTTTTTCATATATGTGTTGAGAGACGTATCTTAACATCTAGTCTTTAAGCATGCCCATGGACCCCCTACAAGAGGTCCACTCACCACTTCAAACATGTTCAAATGGAAAGGAAACTAAAGACATTTTTATATATTTACATTTCATATTTTGTATTCTTTGGATACTCTTTTGATAAATCCTGTATAAGTTCTAATGTAGAATTGTCGGGCTGGGCTAAGCCCCTGATGTGACTAGATCCTAGCAACCTCCATCAAAGGTGGAGATAGTAGAAGTGCCAGTCCTTCACAGGGAGATGTTCAGGCATAACCAAGGACCAGTACAGAAGTACTGGCAGGTACAGGGCAAACAGTCCACAGTAGGACAAGTCATTGATATAAGTGAGAATTAAACTACAGTAGGGCTATCACTATGGGCAACAATGCTTTAAATATAGACTTCAACCAGCAAAACGGCAACAACAAAAAATGGTAGTGGCCTAACTCGTTGTCCCAGTCCGGCCTGCCTGTAGGGATACTTGATTGGCTGAACTTTAACGCTGAGGATAGCGTAGCCAAGCAGCCTATGGTCACAGGGGGCAGGGAGCTGTCTCTCCTACAGAGGCCTCTGTGCTGATGGTTCTGCGAGGAGAAGCTATTTCTTCTTTCTGTAGCTCTTGCAGTGTATGTCCAATATGAACTAAACTGCACATGCATTCAGTCCATCAGTAAACCAAACTGTTTTGACTTCACAACAATAAAAGTATCACTCCCAAATGGCTCCACAAATGGACTAAAGTCAGTTCTGCATGACCTCAACAGTTCAAGGTCTTCCTCAGAACCATTAAAAGACATTTGAGAATCTGTTTTCTGGATCAGTTTATGAACCTGCCGACAAAACATCTGGTTTGATGTACACTACTTATCCTATTTTAACCGCAGCCCCTAACACTTTCTCTGCATTTTAACTGTTTTGTAATATATGTGATCACTATGCAGTTGTTTTTTGTGAGAGATGTAAGACTCAGACCAAAACATGTATTACTCACCAAAGATAATTTAAACCTTTTACTAAACAGACAATCTTTACAAAATATTTGTATGTTTGTAGTGTCCTGGGTGTTGTCTCACAAACAGCTGATGTTGATATAGCTTTCTTACATATGTAATACACACACCACTTTTATGAGAATAAGGACAAGTAAAAGTGAAATTGAAGACATTCATTATACCAATTACCATTTGAATTAGTTTCACAAAGTAAAGCGTATTAACGTGTTATTAACTCCTGTTTGTTTTAAGCAGCACTAATCAATATTTTTACATAAACAGTGGATAAACTGATTACAGTAAATATAGATTTTGAATGTAGTGACCGACCTACACAGTATTAGCACCTAATTCTGCAGTTTCCCTCAGTTCTACAGGGATGTAATATATTTGATCATTTCAGTGTTGCTCAAACTATAACCTTCAGTCTCAGCACTCTCATCAACTTTGCTTCCTGCAGCAGCCTGAACCCCTGCAGTCAGACAGTTCGTTTTCCAGTTGACCAAGGTGGACATTTTATAAGTGCAAAGCTGCCCTCTCAAGATCTGTGTTAGTCTGCGCTGGCTGTTCCTTTGTTCTCCTAAGGAGACAGCGCTGTCGCCCTACTAGGCAGGAAAGCTGCCCTTGGATTGGACATCGCTGCACCTTAAAGTGGACCTATCATGCTATATTTGAATAATATAGTGTAGGACCATACCTATATAAGGCATATTTATTTTTTTTTCAAAATACCAAACAGATCATGCATTTTAGCCATGCCTCATTTTGCTCAATTTGAAAAATGTTAGCTCTGTTTTTGCAAGGGTTGATTCTGTGAGCAACAGCACCATCTAGAGGCCTGGCATATGTACTACAGCGTCTCCAGCGCTTTCGAACGGCAATGCCGTGGTTGTCTCCTCCTGATTGGTGGAGTTGGCCCAATAGCCATAGCGCCACCGTCCTGACGTCAGGACAGTGTTCAAATCTGGATCAGTTTTTATCAGATCCGTTGCAGCCCCTTTTTTAGAGATTTGGGTATGGAGGAAAATAGAGAGGGTTGTGTTTTCTGACACTTGGTGAGTTCCCTGGAACACCGGGGACACATATTCATGTATAAAAGATGTACAAAAGTGCATTTTGCATGATAGGTCCCCTTTAATGTGGAGGTGGAGTGGTCATCCTCTATTCAGAAAGATGGTGGTTCCATCCCCTGACCCATGGGAATGTGTTATTGGGCACGCAACCATTGTATGTGTGTGAGAGTGTGTGAAGATTAGTTTTCCTTCCCTTTGTATGGCAGCCTCTGCATACATGTGTGGGAATGGGTAATGCTGACCTGTATGTAAAAGCTCTTTCAGTCATCATAAAGACTAGAACAGTTCTAGATAAATGTAATCCATGAACTGTAGGCCTTTCCCCTTTAACAGTCGAGAGGAGTTCTGAACTCATCTATTCTTTTATGTATTTAGCATAACAATGTTTGCTTACCTCATTCATTTGTTTACTATCCTTATTGTATTTGCCTTTTTTATGTGAACTGTCTTCAAGGTAAACAACGTAAAATCTTATTTTGTGATGTATTTACATGCAGTGTTTTTGCTCCCTTTTCACTTTAGGACTTGTTAAGATGACTTACCTATCATAGATATATTGTGCTATGCATTCTGTACATTATACCATGACAGAAACATAATAGGGTGTTGAATCATCATGAAGTCATTCTGATCATTTAGTATCAAGTATATATCATTGTTTTAACTACTCTGCTTTTGGTAGGTTGAGAAGCAAAGAGCAGATCTAACCAGAGAACTGGATGATCTCACTGACCGACTGGAGGAAGCAGGAGGGGTCACCACATCACAGGTCAACTATATACATTCAAAGAAACACACACACACGCACGCACGTACGCACGCACGCACGCACGCATTCATATATGCTTTTTTTGCCAAACGTTAGAACGTTAGATTCAGATAACTTTTATGTCCATTACATTTAAATACAATTGAAATGTGTCTCTGGCACTGTCAAATAAAACAACACATACAGTTCATACTGTAACAATACAAAGGAAAAACAAACGTGCATCTTAAATTCCTAAAGAGACAGTCATAATAAAAATGTGAAGCTGACTTCTACTGGTTATGGTTAGGCATTGACCTCTACTATATCTGTACATAGCAAATAGTTGTTGCTGCTATAATATTACAATTTAAAATCATAACATTGGGGTCCTCTGAAACTGAAGAATTAAGCTAAACTACAGTGTCTGAACTGACCCAGTGAGCTAGCCATGGACCTTTCCATATTACTTATATGCAGACACGTCCAGTTTAACTGTGCCTGAGGGAGCGGGGCATTACCAACAGAGGACACATGTCTCCAAAGGCTCCTTACGTTAGGACATATGCAGCACATAATACAACATGCTACAATCTTATGGATGCCTTTGGACAGAAAATACCATTTGCAGAGGGTACAAGTTTGGCACACGTTGCATCATAAAATACAGACCTTGACAAACATCCTGTGTGTTAATTACAGATGGAGGTGAACAAAAAGCGAGAGGCTGAGCTGCAGCGTCTCAGACGAGACCGCGAGGAAGCCTCTGTCCAATCAGAAGCGCTGACCGCGTCTCTAAGGAAACGGAACAGTGAGGCCATGGCCGAGCTGAGCGAGCAGTGTGAGGCTCTGCAGCGCAGCAGGGCCAAACTGGAGAAGGAGAAGCAGAACATGAGAATGGAAATGGAGGAGTTGGCTGCTTCTGTGGACAGTCTGCTCAAAGCCAAGGTCAGGACGTTTATTTATTTTATTGTTGCAGTTTTTCATGTTTTTACATTTGAACACTTTGTTTGTGTGCTGCAGACGTCCTCAGAGAGCCAGATGAAGAAGCTGGAGGAGCAGCTCTCAGAAGCCAGCAGGACTGCAGACGACCTGCAGAGGGCCCAGATGGAGCTCAGCGTGGCCAGAAACAGACTCACAGGTACTTCTCCTCACTCACATCCAAGAACAGCTTCTTTTGTGTCTGCTCCAGGGGATTTCCATCTTTTGCATTTGATATAGCAAATAGTCCATTTCAAATCTTCCAAAAATAATTTCAATAGATACTGGTGACTTAAACATTTCTTATATTTAGGATACACATCCAAGCATGGTCCTCACATTGTTTTGTTGACAAACTGAATAACAATAACCAGTGTTTTACTTATTCACCACAGAGCAGTGCAGAAGGCAGAGATAGGAGTACAGTATAGGTTACTGGAAGATGAGTCATTGTCTTCATTAGTCCTTGCTACTTTATACCGAAATTATTGTTACTGCTCTAACCAAGCAGATGGTACAACCACAGGACAAAAAAGATCAAATTGTATTCTTGTTTTATTGTGTATTGCACCAGATCATGGCCTTTGTACAGTGCTAAAGGCCTACTATATGCTACAGTGTGAACATCAGTTTCCTTGCGTGTCCTGTCAGCTGATAATGCAGACTTCAGTCGACGGATGGAAGGGGCAGAGAGCAGGGCCGGCCAGCTGGGCCGCTCCAAGAACCTGCTCCAGTCCCAGGTCCAGGAACTGAGGAAACAACTGGAGGAGGAAGTCAAGGTCAGAGTGTGTTTTGTATGGAAGTCTCAAAAATAAAATATCCAGCAAACAAATAGATGTAAAAAATCACTCAAAGTGATTGTGTATATGATAATAAATATAAAGTAGTATTCTATGCTCTCTGCTGTGGCTGCAGTATAAGCAGGCGCTCAGCAGCAGTCTGAGCTCTGAGCGGCAGGACTGCATGGTGCTGAAGGAGCAGCTGGAGGAGGAGCAGGAGAGCAAGCAGGAGCTGCAGCGCCACGTCTCCAAACTCAGCAATGAGGTGACGCACTGGAGAAGCAAACACGAGCTGGACACCATGCAGAATGCCGACGAGCTGGAGGACACCAAGTACGTTACTGTTATCCATCACATTTGCCTCTTTAAATAATAATAATAATGATAAACTTTATTTGTATAGCACCTTTCATGCACAAAGCATCCCAAAGTGCTTTACAGAAAACATAACAACAATATTAAAATAAATACAGAACAAGATAAAACATCTACAGTGATCCTAATGACATTCCCGTGAATTCAAGCTGACAAGAAATTAAAATATGTTAAAATTAGGGCTGTCAAGTTAACGCGTTAATAACGCGTTAACGCAAAAAAAAATTAACGCCACTAATTATTTTAACGCGATTAACGCATGTGTATTTTTTGTCCTCGGCCGCCGTAGTTTCAGAGCGCATCGAGTTTAAAATACCATCTACAAGCTGATGCTGACAGCCCCGCTCCTGCCGCCCGCTTGTGGCAGACCACACTTCCACGCTCACTGGCAGGCCCGGACTGGCCATCGGGAGGACCGGGAGGGAGTGTGTATGTGTGGGGCAACTCGCGCGAGCGAGGCACACCTTACGTGTTGATGTTGTTGTTAGCATCTGGTGCTAGCTAGCTGCGCTAACGGATATAAGGAGCTGTTTCAATGACATTTCGCCGACAACTGCGCCGAGCACTTGACTTTATGCAGGTAGCCAGACAGTGGGACATTGTACGAAAAGTCAGCACACTCAGCACGGATAGTACGCGCAACATGATTGCAGCGTCCAGGCAGCTCCCATTCGAGCATATATGCCTTGAGCTGCACATAGCTCCAACGATCCATCACAGTGTCTCCACATTCATACACACACACACACACACACACACACACACACACACACACACACACACACATACACACACACACACACACACACACACACACACACACACACACACACACACACACACACACAGTATTGTATGAGAGAGGTTCTAGGTTGAATTGAGGCGAATATTTGTAATATTCAGAGGTTGTTGTGTTTAATATTCATGAGAATATTTGTCATTATTCAAATGATAATAAACAAACATATAAAGCATAGTTGTCCACTCATATGTTGATAAGAGTATTAAAAACTTGAAAAATATCCCTCTAAGGTACATTGAGAACAGATAAAAAATTTGCGATTAATTTGCGATTAATCGTGATTAACTATGGACAATCATGCGATTAATCGCGATTAAATATTTTAATCGACTGACAGCCCTAGTTAAAATAAAACAATAAAAAAAATAAAATAAAAAATGTAAAATAAAAGCAAAACAGAACAAATACAGTAAAACATGGACAATGATATTAGTGAGAATTGAAAGTTAACCCAAATTAAAAGCCATATTAAAAAGATAGGTTTTTTATTTGCTTTTAAACATTTCAAGGGAGTTTGCTGTTCTAAGATCCACGGGTCCCAGATCTCTTGTGTGATACCCTTGGAATTTCTAAAAGCAGGGCACTGGAGGATCTAAGGCAGGGGTCTCTTTCTTCATCTGAGAGCTACTTTGAAAAAATGAAAGTGGCCAAGAGCTACTTGCATCACATCGCTTACATTTCTTCACATAGCCCTCATCAGTTGAATTAAGCTATACTTTTGTACATGTGTGAAATTGCAATACCTAAAGCTTATCAAAAATCTTAACTTCATATCAAGGTCCAAGAAAACGAAAATGTCTCACATATTATGGCCCACATAGTAAGTACATCACTGAAAATTCACAGAAATGTCCTTAATCACCACCTTACAAGCATTTCACTCTTTTTTACAGTTAGTGAGATGACTGGCACTGCATGGAGTCCACCAGAGGTGTATGCTGGAGTGTATCCTCTAGGTTTAGGTATATCTCAAAAAGTGTAAAAGATATCAAAAATCTGAATAACAATGTGATCATTTTTAAAGTTGGAATGAAGTCTCTAGCTGAAAGTATGTGGAAGGAGAAGCATTTGGCGTAAGGTGTAGTTAAAAGAGGATTTGAAGAGTCCTCCCATTGAGGTCCATGTTAAAAAAAGAGTTTAAAAAGCACACTGTTGCACAGCATTCACACTAGTAAGTATGTTGAATACTACTGTGTGTGGCTCCGCCAGTCACACAGAGTTACAGTAATGCAAGCGACTTGTGATAAAAGCATTTAAACGAATTACGGCATCATTTTGAGTTAAAAATTGTCTAATGTTGGCAATGTTTCTAAGATGGAAAAAATAGGTTTTCGCAACCTTGTTAAAATGGCTAATAAAGTGAAGATCACAGTCTAAAATGACACCCAGATTTGTAACTTGTTTTTTACTAAATGTGACAGGCTGGAGAACACGGACTCAAGTTTCTGCCGTTCTGAATTTGGACCAACAATTACACTTTCTGTTTTCTGCTCATTCTGTTTTAAAAAGTTACTTCTCATCCACATGTTAACGTCATTGAGACAGGTTAAAAGTGTGTTAAAAGAACTTGGGTTTTCTGGCGAAATGGAGACATACATTACATTGCATTTAGCTGACGCTTTTATCCAAAGCGACTTACAATAAGTGCATTCGACCAAGAAGATACAAACTTGAAGAAAACAGAATCAAGTACATCAGGTTTCATAGAGCCAAAACATTTCAAGTGCTACTCAACTGGCTTTAGATAAGCCAGTCCTTTGTCAGTATATAAGTGCTTTGTTAGAAATTCTTTGTTAGTAATTATATCGCTCGAAGTGGAGTCGAAAGAGATGTGTTTTCAGTCTGTGCCGGAAGGTGTGTAAGCTTTCTGCTGTCCTGATTTCAATGGGGAGCTCATTCCACCATTTTGGAGCCAGGATAGCAACATACATACAGTTGTGTTTCATCAGCATAACAGTGATATTTAACATCATTCTGATTAATAATGTTGCCAAGAGGGAGCATTTACAGAGAGAACAGGATAGGTCCTAGGATGCTTCCTTGAGGAACACCATACTTAATGTCGACTGTATCTGAAACACAGTCTAATAGATAAATAGATAAAGTATATGTCCTCCAAATCATTTGTGTTTTACAGGAAGAAGCTCGCAAGCAGACTTCAGGAGGCCGAGGAGGCTGTGGAAGCCACCCAAGCCAAATGTTCTTCACTGGAGAAAAACAAACAAAGGTTGCAGGGAGAGGTGGGAGAACTCTGCTTGGACCTGGAGAAGGTAGGAAGGGGGCGTTTTGAGCAGGTGTTGCAGTGCCCTGATGTTATGTATTGTTATCCTTGAGCCTATGTTCACTGTCCCAGGCCAGCAGCTGTGGTCAAGCTCTGGATAAGAAGCAGCGGATTCTGGAGAAGCAGCTTGGTGACTGGAAGCAAAAGTGTGAGGAGCTGGTTGCTGAGGTGGAAGGCTGCCAGAAGGAGAGCAGGCAACACACCATGGAGCTCTTTAAAATGAAGACTGCCCATGAAGAGTCTTTGGAGCAGCTGGAGACCTTACGCAGGGAGAACAAGGCCTGCCAGGGTATAAGAGTTATCATATGAGGGGAAAGGATGATGCTTAACACAGCTTTAAATGGAGAGTTGAATAGTAACCATGGTTTATTTGATGCATTTGGCTTTTTTTTGTCTAGTAGAAGAGGTAGCTGACCTTACAGACCAGATCTCAGATGGAGGTAAGAGTGTCCATGAGCTCCAGAAAGCAAAGAAGAAGATTGAGATGGAGAAAGACGAGTTACAGGCCTCACTGGAAGAGTGTGAGGCAGCTTTGGAGGTGCAGAGCTTCAGCAAATTCCCTTAGTAGCTGTGAGATTTGTGCTTAATGCCGGCTCTTAATTTATCTTTAGTATCTATAGTTGCATATAATTGAATGTAGTTTGGATACCTCTAAAGAAAAACTCCCAGGTCTTTCTTGATTTCTTTCTGTTCTTCCTGCCCACCAGGTGGAGGAGACCAAGGTGCTGAGGCTGCATTTGGAGTTGTCTCAAGCTAAAGAGAACCTGGAGTTCAGACTTCAGGAGAAGGACGAGGAAATAGACGCCTCCAGGTACCTCAGACTCCTCTCCAGCTTCCTCCATCCAACACGGCACCTCCACTCCTCTTTCCATGCTCCGCAGACAATATACAGTCATACTGTAGAAAGACATACCTCATTCCACAGCTGCTTACATCCTAACAGACTGGGTGTCCTATTACTGCCACGCATGAAATAATACAGAGGTGCCCGGCCGGCCAGGGCAAATTAGCATTTGTGTGTTTGTTAGGGCTGTGCAATTAATTAACTGATAATGTTGTTTTAAGAAAAAGTCCATTCTACTGCAGAGCATTGCTGAACTGATGGACTGTCCAAGTCTGCTCACATTTTCTTTTAAATAAGACAGTCTTTACAGGTGTTCCCTTTAGTGTTTACTTCCTGTCTGTCTTCTTCTGCTGATCCCTCTGTCCTCCTCTCTTTGAACCTCTTTGAAATCGTCACTAAAGACAGTTCACAGCATGAATAGAAAATAGAGAAACAAATATTCAAAAAGTATTCCATGGTGTTTTCTGACGGAGTAACAAAGAAAACAATGTGCTTTTTAGCCACAGCTGATGTTAAACTGACTGCATCTATCTGTGGATTGATATGACTTGTCTTTTGATCAAAGTGTCCTTGGCATCCTCTGCTTTCAAACAAGAGCAGACCATTGAATGTGCAAATTGACCAGTAGCCATGAAATAATATCTTTAGAGGTAAGGCCTGTCACTGCAGTGAAACCATCCGTCTCCTTGTTTGTCAGAAAAAGCCACCAGAGGGCCCTGGAGTCGCTGCAGGCCTCTTTGGACCTGGAGATGAACGGCAAGGCTGAGGGGCTGAAGCTGAAGAAGAAACAGGAAGCTGACATCACCGAGCTGGAGCTGCAGGTGGACATGCTCACCAAGAACAGCACCGAGCTCAACAAGAACAGCAAGAAGATGCAGCAACAGATGAAGGTCTGCACATAAGACACAGTATTTTTGAACACACTGCTTTCCAAGAAGCTTACATTGGGTATCACTGTCTGTCTGTCCTGTCTGTCCCGTCCCGTCCTGTCTGTCCTGTCTGTCCTGTCTGTCCCGTCCCGTCCTGTCTGTCCTGTCCCGTCCTGTCTGTCCTGTCTGTCCCGTCCTGTCTGTCCTGTCTGTCCCGTCCTGTCTGTCCCGTCCCGTCCTGTTCTGTCCCAGGAGTTGCAGGCCCAGCTGGAGGAGGAGGTCCGGAGCCATGAGGAGGACAGGGAGGAGCAGGCGGCCGTGGAGAGGCGCTGCACTCTGTTATTCAGCGAGGCAACAGGGACTCGTTCAGCCCTGGAGAGTGCAGAAAGAGCCAGAAAGGTCCTGGACACTGAGCTGCAGGAGGCCAAGGAGACACTCAGCAACCTCCACAGCCAGGTGATTCAGTCTGTCTCTGCTTCACTTAAACATGTAACCTGTGATGGCAGACTTGCCGTAGATTGATGACCTTCCCGATGTTTCTCCTGTGTGTTCAGTTCCAGTTGGCTCTGAGTGGGAGACGGAATCTGGAGATGGATCTCCAGAATCTGCAGCAGGAGCACGAGGAGCTGAGAGGAAAGCTGAGAGGATACACAGACAGGTCCAAGAAGACCGGCTGTGAGGTAAAACACGTCAAAGACAGCAGGTGAAGAGATATTATAGCAAACACATGTTAAGTCATATCAAATAAACATGGCTGCCAAAATGTGTTTAGTTGGCAAAAGTGGGGGAGGAGCTGCGTCTGGAGCAGGAGCACACGCTCCACCTGGAGAGAGGGAGGAAAGATCTGGAGGCTCAGATCAGAGACATGAGCAGCAGGGTGGAGGAGGCCGAGCAGACGGCTCTGAAGGGAGGCAAGAAGATCATCCAGAAGTTGGAGGGAAAGGTATACCATCACTTTGCACATTTTCATGCTTGCTGTCTTCTATCAAAGCAGGTATCAATATTCACCACTCGCACATGTGATTGACAACTCTGACCTTCATTTGAGAAACACCATAATGCAATCAACTACACACACATATTATCCAACAAATTGATCGACTAAGCGGCGGGATGTTCCTGACTAAGCGGTTGTCCAATCACAACAGAGCTGGTTTCAGAAAGAGGTGCTGCAGCTCAGGCAGTATGAGAAAGATAAAGAGCTTTTTGAACATTAAAGGCAGCTGTGGCTCAGTGGATAGAGTGCTGGACTTCGAATCAGGGGGTAGCAAGTTCGAGTCCCACTGCAGTCAGCATGTGGTTGTGTCCCTGGGCAAGACACTTCACCCAAACTGCTCCTGTGGGGATTGTCCACAGTACTGAATGTATGTTAGTCGCTTTGGAAAAAAGCGTCTAACAAATGACATATAATGTAATAATTAAAGCATGGAGACATGTCCCAGTAGAGACACGTAATACAGTGGCAAGGAAAAGTATGTGAACCCTGTCATCACAACTTCAAATCAGCTGCTGTTTCATGATTTTAGTTTTGTACTTTTTCAGCTTTTGCAACAGCTTTTATATTAATAACGCTTGCCTTTTGTTTATATTCGTTTATCTGCCTCCCGGGTTTTGCACGGCTCTTGGGTCCGCATTCCTGCCTTAGCCTGACATGCTGACTAGAAATAATTATGAGTTAGCAAAATATGCAAAGAAACACAATATTCATATAAACTCCTTTAAGATATTTTTGTAATGCATCCACGCATGACGCCTCCCAAAGAGTGCTTCCTGCTGTCTGTGAAACAGACTGTGTTATAGGTTAACATCAAAGATCATTTACATGGCACACAACAGCAGGTGATCACAATAGACCCAAACACTGATCAGATGCCCCCCTATACAGGAGGCCATGCAACTTGTTTATTCCTCCCTCTCTTTCCTGTAGTCATAAAACCATTTATCTTACCCCCATGACATAGACCAGACGTTCTTCTCATAGCATACATATACATGCTGTCGCTACGACGACCTGAAGAAAGCGTTTTCTTTGCGTCATGTGCCGTTCATATTTTTCCTTCCAGTTAGAAAATTCAGAAGTGAAAATGGACATTGAAGTTGAGATAGACGGCTATGAACAGAATGTTTTACCAGTAGCAAGGTACTACTCATTAACAGTTGACAGCTAATGAAAGCTAACTTGTTGCAGGTGAAGGAGATGGAGCTAGAGTTGGACTCGGAGCAGAAGCGGCACGCTGAGACAGTGAAGACACTGCGGAAGAACGAGCGACGGCTGAAAGAGCTCCTATTTCAGTCAGAGGAGGACCAGAAGAACCAGCAGAGGATGCAGGAGCTGGTGGAGAGGCTGCAGAACAAGATGAAGGCCTACAAGAGACAAGTGGAGGAGGCTGTACGTCACATCCACCTGCTGCTCACTCTCACCCTGTTTGACACGCACAGGTTCATGATCCTTCTGTTTGGTTGTCATTGCAGGAGGAACAAGCTAACATGAACCTCGCAAAGTACAGGAAGACCGTCCATGAGCTGGATGACGCTGAGGAGCGAGCTGACATTGCTGAGTCAGCACTCACCAAGTTCAGGACCAAGAGCAGAGGCAGCGCTGGGAAGGGCTTTTCCTCTGTAAGAACTTTCTCACTTCTTCTTCTTCTGCTTTGGGTTTACTGGCAGGCGCAAACAACTTCACGGCGTGTACTGCCACCCGAAGTCCCGGAGTCCCCCGGAGTCCCCCGGAGTTGAGGACCGGCTTCAGTAGAAGCTGCTGGGGCGTGTCTTCCGAGTAAATCGCCAGAAGCGCAGACACCTCCTCATCACTCCACCATGTTTTCTTTTGTGCTGCCATAAGTTAGTCTCTCTCCATTGGTGCGCTGGGCTAATGCTAATGCTAATGCGAGCAAATAAAATGGCGGCTTCCAACATTTTTTTACGGGGCGTAGTTTGCAATTCGCCCAGCCAATCAGAAATTGTTAGTGTGGCCGACACACCCACAAACCATTTCTTCCCCAGGAAAGTACCACCTCTCTAGCAGGGACTATCTGGGGGTGAAAAGGTTAGCGCAAACTAGGGACTAGTTCCAGATCTTTTTGGTGTGAAACCAAATCTCCCCCACCTATCTATCTCCATAGAGGCTGAATCATCATGTTAATTGTTGTCACATAGCTATCATATGCCTAAAACAGTCCTGATTCTCTTCTAGGTAATCATACATCCTGTTACGTACACAGCTACGTAGGCCCTTTGTTATCATGTGCTACTCTGATATTAGAAGAGTACATTCAGTATTTTCCCAACACAATGTTTTTATAATCGTTTTTGTATTTATTGAACACCCATCACACTTGCAGTGCTGGTGGAAAGGTAAGAGAACCTTGGCAGCAATAGCTTTAAAACTAGCGCTTCCAATATTTCAGGATGTTCAGGAGGAATTTCAGAGGGTTCCTCCTCACAGAACTGCTTCAGCTCAGAAATATTCTCAGGATGTCTAGTGTCCTCTCTTGAGGTTATTTCACAGCTCTTCTGGAATAAGCTCTGACTGGACCATTCCACAAGGCAGATTTTCTTTTTTTGAAGCCATTCTATATCACATTGACTTCTATATTTCGAGTGATGTCCTGCTGCACCCCCCAACCTCGGCTGAGCTTCAGCTGGTGGGCATCCACCCTGACATTATCCTGTAGGATATTCAAGGATTCAATTCAAGGGTTCAAGGCTTTTATTGTCATTCGTACATAGCTACAGTGTAGTTATGTCAATGAAAATCTTAGGTCCCAGGCTCCACCAACAGTGCAACACAATAAAACAGAATAGAAGAAGTGCCATAAGAGTCTATATACAAGTGATACATAATTTGTAAATTGCAAACAGGTGAATGTTATGGATGTTCTTAGTTCAGGTGTTTAACAGTCTTATGGCCTGTGGAATAAAACTGTCCCTGAGTCTGGTGGTTTTAGTCCGGATGCTGCGGTATCGCCTGCAAGACGGCACCTGTAGAAGGTCAGGATCCTCTCTATGGTGCACCTGTAGAAGGTCAGGATGCTCTCTATGGTGCACCTGTAGAAGGTCAGGATCCTCTCTATGATGCACCTGTAGAAGGTCAGGATCCTCTCTATGGTGCACCTGTAGAAGGTCAGGATGCTCTCTATGGTGCACCTGTAGAAGGTCAGGATCCTCTCTATGGTGCACCTGTAGAAGGTCAGGATCCTCTCTATGGTGCACCTGTAGAAGGTCAGAGTCCATGTTGAACCTCTGCAGCCTGCAGAGGAAGAAGAGCGGCTGTCGAGCTGTTTTGGTGATGGTGGTGGTGTGAAGAGTCCATGTCAGGTCCTCAGTGATGTGGACACCGAGGAACCTGAAGCTGCTGACTCTCTCCACCGTAGTCCCATTGATGGCGATGGGGGCGTGTCCCTCTCTCTGCTGCTTCCTGTTATCCACAATCAGCTCCTTGGTTTTGCTGACGTTGAGATGGAGGTTGTTATCCTGGCACCAAGATGTCAGGTTTTTGACCTCCTCTCTGTACACCGTCTCATCGCCGTCGGTGATCAGGCCGATGACGGTGTTCGAGCTGTGTGTGGCCACGCAGTCGTGAGTGAACAGGAAGTAGAGGAGAGGGCTGAGCACGCAGCCTTGAGGGGCTCCGGTGTTGAGGATCAGGGTGGAGGATGTGATGTTTCCCACCCGCACTGCCTGGGGTCTGCCCGTCAGGAAGTTCAGGATCCAGTCACAGAGGGCGCTGTTGAGCCTGAGGTCCCTGAGCTTGATGACCAGCTTGGAGAGCACAATGGTATTGAAGGCTGAACTGTAGTCAATGAACAGCATTCTCACATATGTGTTCCTGTTCTTCGGGTCCAGGTGTGAGAGGGCAGTGTGGATGGTGAGGGCTATGGCGTCGTGTCTGTGGACCTGTTTGCTCTGTAGGCAAACTGCAGGGGGTCCAGAGATTCAGGGAGGGAGGAGGTGATGAATGTTTTGACTAACCGCTAAAAGCACTTCATGATGATGGAGGTGAGTGCTACTGGGCGGTAGTCGTTGGGGCAGGTGATGATTGTCTTTTTGGGGACAGGAACGATAGTGGAGTGTTTGAAGCATGTGGGGACTACAGACTGCAGCAGGGACCTGTTGAAGATGTCTGTGAACACCTCTACCAGCTGAACTGCACACACCCTGAGAACACGGCCAGGGATGCCATCAGGTCCTGGAGCCTTGTGTGGGTTAACCCTTTTAAAGGATTTACACACATCTGCCCTGTTTAAAACAATAGGGCCGGGCTCCTGGGCTTCATGTGCGTCCACAGCCTGGCTGCTCTCGAACCGTGCAAAAAAAGCGTTCAGCTTATCTGGGAGAGATGCGCACGCAGACAGTCCCGCAGTACCCCCCGCTGCTCCCTTGTAATCTGTCATTGTTCTTAGTCCCGCCCACATGTTCCGATAGTGCAAGCTTTCAGCTTGCCGCGCACATCGCTGTTTATCCAGGGCTTTTGATTCGGGAATGTTAGTACAGTAACCTTCTGTACCACGTCATCGATGCATTTCCTAATGTAGCAAATGACCGTGTCCGTGTGTGTGTTGATATTTTTGTCCTCAAACACACTCCATTCCGTAGATTCAAAGCAGTGCTGCAGAGCTGAGTCTGACTCCTCACTCCAGCGCTGTATGCTCCGTGTCACCGGTCTGTCCCGTTTCAGTTTCTGCTTGTAAGCAGGCAGCAGCAGCAGTGAGATGTGGTCTGATTTGCCGAAGGGAGGGCGAGGGAGAGCCTTGTATCCATGTTTGAAAGGGGAATAAACATGGTCTAGTATGTTTCCCCCCGCGCGTCGGGCAGCTGATGTGTTTGTAGTACTTCGGCAGGATTTTCTTCATGTTGGCAGTGTTAAAATCCCCGGCCACAATGAAAGCCGCCTCTGGCTGTGAAGTCTCTGTCTTGTCGATTACACCAAACAGCTGATCCAGAGCTGTGTTGTGGTCAGCCTGTGGCGGAATATATACTGCTGTAAGCACAACCGCTGTAAGTTCTCTTGGCAAATGAAAAGCCCGGCATCTGATCATGAGGTGCTCTATATGAGGGGAACAGTCCGAAGAAATAATCCCCACATCTGTGCACCAGTTATTGTTTATCATGACGCACACACCTCCTCCCTTGCTTCTCTCTGAATTAACAGTCCGACCCTGGCAGGAGAAACTTGAGAATGCTCATCTTCCTTGATGATAGCAGGCTGTCCAGGCCCAAATCATGAAGCCCCCTCCACTGTTCCTCACTGTTGGTTACATGTTGTGACGCTGCTATGCCTTTTTCATGCCCGACGCTGTATTCTTCCTGAATAATTCAACCTTAGTATCAACAGTCTTCTCGGTGGCCACAGTACTAAATGGTCTCCATTTAGCAAAGATGTGTCCACCTGTGGACTGATGGATATCTAAACTCCAAGGGATTACTTTGTAACCCTTTCCAGCTTTATACAAACCAGCAATTGTTGATCGTAGGTGCTCTGATATCTCTTTTTTGCAAGGCGTGTTACACATCAGCTGATTATATATTATAAGTCAAATCACACCGACATCTTATTTCACTGACTAAACTAGGTTTGTTAACCCCTAAACTCTACTAGCTTTTGTTGAAGTCTATGGGCTCACATACTTTTTAGAAACTACATTTTGAAGGATTTATTCATTATGAACAAACACTACAATTAATTCTGCGCAGTTATTTAAGACTGTTTGTGTTTGCTTCGTATTGTACTCGAAGAGTACTTCCAAACGGTTCCCTTACTTGTTCTTGCTCCTGTTTGTCTGTACTCCACTAGGGTTACAGCACTCCGTACCCCGGCCTGCTGAGGTCCCCCAGCTCTGTGGGTTCAGAGGGCGGGGGGGAGAAGATCCTCCGAGACGACCAGTCTGTCAGCTCCCTGATCCCAGCGTACCTGGACTCTCTGCAGAAGCTCATGGTGGATTAGATCAAGCCGGGGGGACAGAATGACTTAACACTCACTGTTTCACCTCTCTGTTATTAATGTACATTCCCCAATGAACTCCTTTATTCTTTGCATGATTGAAGACTCTAAAGACTCCGTTTTTTTTCTCTTCATAATGTAATATAATATATGTAATGTAAAGGTTTTGAATTTAATTGAATATGTTTTTGTCAAAACAGATCCATGATGAATGGATTGTTACTGTTTTCAAAAATCCCCAAAAGATAGTCAAATATTGATACATTTATAAATACTGTACTAGTTATCAGTTAATTATGAACATTATTAACCAATCATTTATTTACATTTTACATGTCATTAAAATGTCAATCTGACGTAAAAGCTATCCACCTCTTCTAATTGCTTCACTGTGGTTCACTGCCCAAGCTTTGTATCTACTCAGAATGTAATATGTAACATGTTATTCAATAATATCTGACCATGCCTAAATGAAAAACATAGAGAAGCTAAAACTTAAGTTTATGCTGGTCAACCTCACCTGTAAACTAGATTAAAACAAATCAACTGCTAGTTATATCCCAAAGAACATTAGGTACAAAATGATTATTTACCGTTTTATGTGCTAATTACTGTATGACCGTCAGAGTAGAGTCAGCTACAGCAGCAGCTGGTGTTTGCACATATTTGTGCCCAGCTTACTGCGTATTGTGGAGTGAGATATCAACACCTTTCATTTCATAATGAATGATTTGTAAATGATTAGATAATTGTGTACTAATTGCTTATAGCATGTTTTTCTGAACTAATAACCATACCATTATTATTGCTGCGAACATGTGAATTTGAGCTCTTTTTGCATTTATATATCTTTTGCAAAAACAAAAACACCACCACAAAAGCACAAATCAGCACAAAAAGGAGGATGTTTTAACACATATTTATTTGATTTATAATAAATGCAAACCTTCAGCCCTTAAGTAGTAATTCTAGGCAATAATACTGGAGAAGAGGTGGTTAAAAAAGTAGAATATAAATGAGGGTGTTATTTGAATTGTATAAAATAATATGTATGTTCCATTTGGCAATAAACAGACCCAGACATTTCTATATTATATGTTTTCGTTTAAAACTATTTACTATTAGTATTTTACATCATTTTGCTTTTCTGCTTCCTTTCATTGCAAAAACACATCCCATATGCGTACACTAGTCTCCCTCTAGACCCCATAAAGGCCCCTCCTGCGATGGGTTATCAAATGTTTAACAAGAAAATTCTCTTTAGATAACTGTTCATATAAACAGCAATTTAAAGTACATTTATTAAGACATATTTAGGTTTAAAGTGCAATTGGCAATTAAGAAAAACACTGGTGGAAATGAAACGTAATATTTCATACCTATTTTAAAGATGAAAGAAGCTTTGGACTTCTCAACACATAAAAAGAAAAGAGCAATACTCTACAATAATGGTTGTTGGTGTCTTTTTTCAAGAACACCGAAACATGTAAGGAATGGTGCCTGAGTTTAAGCTTTAGTATTTGCTCACACAAGCCAACAATTCTGTCATTTAAGATACTAATGTCTAGTTCTGGTACATAGAAATATCATTCTTAGGTCAGAATGCATTTGGCTTAGCAGCTCATGTTAAATTATTTTTTGGCAACAACTTTCAGGTGTACGTTGACACACAAGTGAAAGAAAGAATGACCCCACAGAGTAGAAGCACACACACTGCTGCATGACAGTTACAGGTGTCCCTATCTTGGTTCATCCTAAGCAGTCCGCTGTGTTGGGGATCACAGGAGGGTCCTCAGGCATGACGGAGCCAGACCCTGAATGTGCATATGAAGAGCATCTGGGGTCAGATCTCTACGTTCACTGGCCTGATCTCCCCGGTCTTATTCTCCTCCACCCACAGCTCTCTGTCTCTGATGGGGTCCACACTTTGCAGCAGCTGATCCACCCGCTCCATCGTCTGCAGACACAGAGAGCAGCTGAAGCTCAGGGGAAGACATGACGCCACTGATAGTGTCCTGTTGTGAACCCGCAAATGTTGAGTACCCCAAAGTCTTATGTTGTATAGTATGGGTCCCCAGCACATAGAAACTGCTGGATGCTAACTTGCATATAACTTCCATTAATTACCATTAAAGCTAATGTGGAAAATAGTTAAGAAATGGCTTAGCTGATTTAGACAATTTTGGAGTGGTTTTGGGATGATTTGAGGATGCTATGTCCATTTCTGACATTTCTGTGATAAAAAATGTCAGTTTTAACCAAAAGGTTGCAATATCTGTACTCTCTGTGGGCTTTTGGGTCGATTTTGAAGATTTAGGGGATTCTGGATCATTTGGGTTGGACAGTTTGCTTATTTATTTGGAAATAAATTGTCCACAGTAGTAATGGTCATTTTGTGCTTTCTGTATTCAATGGTAGCAACACTACTCATGGTGGTCTAAATCAGCCCACAGAGAGTCCAGATATGGCCACTGAAAACGTCTGGAATGGATTCAGCATCCTCAATAACCCCCAAAACCACTCCAAAAGGATCCAAATCGGTCAAGTCATGTTTTAACTATTGTCCACAATCATTTTAAATAACACTAATTATGCTGATTGTGCAACTTGCCCAACAAATGCAGGTTAGCATCTGGCAGTTTCTATGTGCTGGGGACCCTACTATACATTTCTAACATAAAACGTTTGGGGTACTCAACATTCACGGATTCACTACGCTGGCAACTAGACTATTAGGAGACAACATGTGGGTGCTTTTAGTATAAAGTACTATACACACTCAACGTAACACACATTTGGAAGGAGATCAGAGTGTGCATGGAAAGGAAGTCAAAGATGCAAAAGCTTAAAGTTTCTCCTGCCTCACTTCAAAAACAAATGTAGCAGCAGAAGAGTATTTGCACTCAGCTATCAAGTTTGATGTCAGATTTTGCATCCCATCTTCAGTATATATTTGATTTATTTATTCATGACCTCTTTATCTGTTCTTGCCACCTCAGGGAATCAATAAAGTCTGGATTTCACTTTACCCTGACCAATTTAAGTTAGGCCAAGTTATGAAAATAAAAGTGATTCATCAAAATGTCTTTTGACTTGACAGCAGTGCCTTTCCACAGTAGCTTTGGCCTGCTGGTCCCTCATGGTACTCTGACTCTAACGGTAGACGTGCTTCCTCTCAAAGTGAACGCCTGTAATGCTGAGTGTGAGTTGGACTTACACTTTGGTTGAACATGTCTGTCTCGTGTCGGAGGGTGGTGTACTGACACAGATGGTGTCGGATCATCTCCACACGCTCCACCTCCAGCCGTTCCAGCTCCTGGGGGGGGGGGGGGGGGGGGGCAAACAGGCACTGTTACTCACCAAACAGTACACTTGTCACACATTTGATCAAAAGAGGTTATGTTAGGGTCGATCAAACCTATGACTCACCTGGACATCAAATGACCCGTTCACAATCCAGTCTCCATAGTACATGTACAGTGTCTTAGGGAGCCCTGATGCTTTAACCAGAACCTTTGTCCCATTTCTTCTTCACACGTCTTACAAACATCCTTTTGTAGCTGCATTCTCAAAGTGTATATGACCTGATCATTTATAGACATTACACATGGACTAAAAGTGTATATATATACTGTATATTGTAAGTGGTTGTGTACATGGAAATGGATATGTCTATGTAGAATACAAGTTCTTATAAATAAACATTTGTGTAATTTACAAAATACAAGACATATTACTTATTTTTGTATTTCATTCAGATAATTTGTTTGTATTATTTAACATGACTTGTAGTTTCTTTGTATCTTATATGTTTATTTTGCTATGCTCTGGACCTTCCATTAAAAGGCAGAACGAATTGTGTTTAGCACACAAAGTGAAAAGGCTTCATTCAGTAAGTCAGTTTATTCATTTATGTTATGACTTTGCAGACTCAAACTTTGGGAGAATGAACTAAAGCTACTGATATTGTCAGATGTTGCTAACTATGATTCTGAAGAACATCCAAAGGGAAAAGCAGCCGCGTAGAACAGCTTTCTCTCACACCAAACTACACACACATTAACAGGATGTTTTACCAGACTGGTGGTGACCGTCTCCTCAAACCATCTGGACTGTGATTGGTTATAAAGGTCCACACAGCGCATCAGATCGTCTCCTGTTGGAGAGAATACAACAACAAGTCTTAAAAGGACACACATGTATTACATGAGACCTGATAAGTACAAACTGTGTTCAGCACATTCAAATACAAGGTGCTCTATTCTACCACTAGGTGGTGCTACTGCCCAACAGCTGATGAGACTACGTCACTCAGCTGAGCCTGAACAGTGCACACAACCTGGTTTTCTAATAGATTCTATATGATATCATAAGCAATAATAAAAGGAAAGTGTTTCTCTCCTTTCAATAGGTTCTCTGCTTACATCCTGCTGACAACAAGACCCTTATCAGGGAGGGAATGATGCTGATCCCTCTGACCCTTATCAGGGAGGGAATGATACTGATCCCTCTGACCCTTATCAGGGAGGGAATGATGCTGATCCCTCTGACCCTTATCAGGGAGGGAATGATGCTGATCCCTCTGACCCTTATCAGGGAGGGAATGATACTGATCCCTCTGACCCTTATCAGGGAGGGAATGATGCTGATCCCTCTGACCCTTATCAGGGAGGGAATGATACTGATCCCTCTGACCCTTATCAGGGAGGGAATGATACTGATCCCTCTGACCCATATCAGGGAGGGAATGATGCTGATCCCTCTGACCCTTATCAGGGAGGGAATGATACTGATCCCTCTGACCCTTATCAGGGAGGGAATGATGCTGATCCCTCTGACCCTTATCAGGGAGGGAATGATGCTGATCCCTCTGACCCTTATCAGGGAGGGAATGATGCTGATCCCTCTGACCCTTATCAGGGAGGGAATGATGCTGATCCCTCTGTTCTGCTGACATTTCTGCAACTTTATATTCAATTTAATTACATTTTCTGTTAGAATGTGTGATTGCTAAATATCTCACGCACGTTTAGAGAAGTGTTCCTCAAAGTATAGTCTCACCTTTTTGAGGTAAGTGTGTTCTAGCACATCAACAGCCTCTGCAGCATGTTTTACAAAAATAGCTCTTCAGGACTAAGCTTCAGAATAAGGTTTTTATAAATGCAAAGTAAATAAAAAAGACAATGTATAAATATCTCCTGTTTGAAGCATATGATAGGATGCTTGTTATTCTAATCCACACATTGTACAATGCTTTTTGATGTGTAAGTAACCTTAAGAGAGCAGCGAGCCTGAGTCTGTGCCTAAACCCTTGAGAACCTCTAACTATAGAATGAGGTTTGATATGAAACCTAGAGGAGGTCTTCCATAAGCGGCTTCATACTGTGTCCTCATGTTCTCAGACATGTTTTAAATGAGAGCTGTTAGCCAGCTCAAGATACATTGAATTAAACAGGTATTGTTTTATTGCTAACAAAAGTAACATTTATATTTGTGTAGCTCTTCTTTAACATGTAAGTCTTATATGCAGTTTTAAAGGAAATTAACTTCAGTAATTAGCAGAATAAGTCTGACCAAAATACACACTATGGACACTACTGACTGCGCCTGTAACAACTGAGCCACAATTTAACATATTGATCAGACACAGGCCTGCCATATACAATGTTCAAAACTAATCTTGGTAATTGGCATATTGGCATACATTGTGCAGCTGTATATATGCCCATGTTTGATTTACAGAGCTTTTTGTTCGTCAGGCAGGGGATGTAAACCTGCAGTTATATTTACAGTTCACATGTTTTTGCCTTTCCCTGAATGGGGAAAAAACATTATAAGCTTCAACATTTTTTAAATAGAAATTAGAAGCGGTTTATATGATGAATAAATTCATTTCTGGAAACTTTATAAGCGGTGTATGATCAATATCAGTATCTCACAATATATATATTTTTTACGCCCAAAGATAAATGAGAGCTAGCGAGGCAGTGCTGTGACCTTTGACCCTGTCTTTGACCTGCTTGTGTGGATTTCCTGCGGGCTTTCTTGATGTCCTCTTCAATCTTGTTGCTGAGTTTGATTTCCAGCTGCTGAGTCTTCAGCTCCAGATCTTTCTGTCTGTCAGCCAGAGCCTTACGCGCCTGCGGAGAGAAGACGCAGGAGTGAGTGACGGGCTCACATCTCACTGCTATACAAATCATTTCAACCTGAATAATGGAGTGCAGCAAGAAGGTTCAGGGAGCGGCACTTTCACATAATCATCATGTGTCATTACTTTTCTTCCATCATCCAACCAACATGACCAGAACATTTTTGCCTGTCCTGCTTTAAATGCTCAATTGTCCATGAAATAAGTCAATCAGAAATAAACTGTCATCCCAGATTGCTTTTCTTTATACATATTCCAGGGATGGGAAACAGCCCATCGCGAAAGGCAAATATAGGGAATCTTAATCTGCATCAGGGTGATTGTCAGAGCTGTGTTTCCCTCATGCTGCGGAGCTCTGTTCTTGTTCCTGGTTACCTTCTCCACCGATGCATGGCGGCCACCTAGCTGCTTCCGGAGGTCAGCGATGTGATGTTCGTACCTCTTCATGTCCTTCTTAAAGTTCTCCCTGAATGTCAGAAGAGGCTTCTCCACCTCACTCTGCAGCTGGACGAAACACAAACAACCAATAACTCAAAAGCAGATCATAATAAATGGTGTAATAACCAGAGAGCATCCTCCTGAGGACCTCAGGTATTTGAGCCAATGTAAAAACACAGGAATCAAATATGAAGTCTCCCTTGCTGAGAATAAAAGCTAGTGTGAATGTGACTTTGAAGCCTTTGTTTCTAAAGTTACGTAAACTACAAAAATAAATACTGTTTTGGGAAATGTACACACATTTAAAAAAAAAATACCATTGGCATAATGTTTTATCCTGAGTAGAAAGGAGGTAAAAAGAAACTAACAACAAACCTTTACCTTCTGGGAGCAAAGATAGTGTCACTGAAGGGTTTAAAGCTATTATTATTGGCCATTTAAAAGTAGAGGCTATAGTTGGAATTGCAAGTCACCAGACATTGTACACTTGTCAAAAATGTCTGTAAACCCCCAAGTAGTCCACTTTGAGCCATACTGTAGGTCCAATACAATTGAACTGAAAACTATTCTTCACATTTGTATGTAGAGAGTAACTACCATTTGAAAAAATGTGATGGCTTCTTGGAACAAAATATCCAGTTATCTAAATGACTCCATGCCCTTCTCTGGAGACCCTACGCTCTTCCCATCAGCCCCTGGGTTGAGTGTCCCCTCCCCTGTCAGTATGAGCTTGCCCATCTGATAAATTCAAACTGGGGCTGAAATAAAGTAGCCCAGAGATGAACAGCACATGGTTTTTAACTCTTAAGGCCCTGACACACCAGCCAGTCACCAGAGAACTCGCCGACACCGACATCGACTGTTGCATCGGCGAGTTCTCCTGCGTCTTGGCCATGTGTCGCACTGGAACACACCGCAAAGACTTCAGCCGAGCACGTATGAACTGCGCATGCGTGAGTGGCAATAACTCTCCTTACCAGCAGGTGGCGGTAGTGTGTATTCGTCATTCAAAATAGGCAACAACCGGAAGACAGAGAAGAAGAACAGACTGATATAAACAAACAACAAATAGCGTGTGCGTTCCATTTTCACTCTCGTCCATCGAAAACATGTTTTAGAATATAAAAATACATGAATGATGAAATGAGCACATAAAGTGCAGACATACTATAACATCACAGTTAATAGACCTGCATCTGATGATCGCAGTGTTCTGGCGGGTGTGTAGTTTATTGAGTCAGCAATGTAGTAATGTATGTAATGTAATAATGGCCACTTCTTGCTAAATTTACATTTCCATGTGATGCTTTTATCCGAGGCGACTCACAATAGGTAAATGAACAGCAGTAGACAGTATCTCATTTACTTAGACACTGTACTTAAGGACAATGTTGAGGTACTTGAGACTAATCCTGCAACTTTATACTGACAAATAAACCCATGAGATGAAAAACCGGACTTGACCAAACAAATCACGGAGGTCTCAGCAGAGGACAGCCGGGGACGCTCCCGCCGATATCAGAGATGTCCCTGCTATGTGTGGGAGGTAAGAGAGGACATTTAAGGGCTATGTTTGATGTCTTTAAGTATCACCTGCTGGTGTTTAGCTGCTGTCCTGTGCTTTAAATCGTTTGTTTACGTCCCTCACTTCCGTTTCGCTTCTCATTTGCTAGCTGAACAGCTGATCAGAGTGGTTTCTTGGCCCGATAGCTTGTGTCCGACAAATGGCCGATTCAACATGTTGAATCGGCCATTTGTCGACCGTGAAAGGCCAAATAAGGCGTGTCACGGCCGACGGTTCGGGACACACCAAATTGACTTTGGGCGACAAGGAACGCGTTGTCGCCAGACAACCGAAGACGGCCAATATCGGCCTGGTGTGTCTGGGCCTTTAGGAAAAGCCTCCGCTTCGATGGGAGACAAGATGTATGATGATGTATAAAACACAGCTGAAATCACCCATCCCCCACATACTGGATTTACATATCCATTCAAATATTCAATTATTTCCAGCTTTCAACATTATGTCATGACAATCTCACAATGATTTAGTTTTGTCAAAACATTTTTGGGGATTTTTGGAACCAAACAACAACCACAACTTTATCTATTAATTGTTTAACTTACTTCATATGTATCCAACTTACAGTAGAACTGAGTGCAAATGGGTTAAGGGAACTTGGCCTTGGAACCGATTGGTCGCACAATCGGACCCAAATAAAATGGAGGTGCCAGTTCACCTCCTGAGCCGAGGTTTGTAAACTGGCAGGCTCTAGCACCTCTCTGTGTGCACCTGTACTGTGTGTATTCATTATATTGTTTTCATTGGAAACAATCAAAGTATATTTCCACCCCATTCCTTGTTCTCCAGCACATCTGTGCATCTCTGGAGGATCACATCACCGGCTCCATTTCCTGTATCAGACCAGCTGCATCCTGGCCAACATCTGTGCTCTTCCCTCTCTCAACCCCTAAGACAAACCCATGCTGGATTACCTTTGAGGAGAACTTCAAGTGAACCTCAGCTTCGTCTTCCAGACTCTTCTTTAACTGGGCCCAACACTCTCCCACAGTCCTGAGAGCAGACAGGAGGCAGTGTGTTGATTTGAATTCATAAAAAAGGACCACACACACACACACACACACACACACACACACACACACACACACACACACACACACACACACACACACACACACACACACACACACACACACACACACACACACACACACACACACTGCAAAAATCGAGAGCACAGCCAGTCCAACAGACGATAAGACGATGCTGAGCTCTGCCGTCGGTACGTGAACGAGACAAGAGTGAGTGGTTGGTTTAAAAGTCTGTAATAACCGTACGGTCTGAGGTAAGAACATTGGAGGGTATGTTATAAGACACACTCCTTAAACCCTGTGACAACGCCACCTCAACCTTCACAACCGCACAATGCAACTCCTGCTCATTCTTCCAATCCAAAATGAACAACATTTATAGAAACCTGAGTCAGCAGTGGCTCAGTCAGTAGGGGCTTGGACTGTGAGCCGTAGGGTCGCTGGTTCAAGTCCCCGAACAGACCTAAACATGGAGTGTGGACTGCTACTTGGAGAGGTCCCAGTTCACCTCCTGGGCCTGCCGTGGTGCCCTTGATAGTGTACTAAGTGTTCTAATTTGCAACATAGACATTGCCCTCTTTCTTTTTCAGACATTAAAGTTTGTAAGCTAATCGTGTCTATGAAGTTATGTTGATATCATAGATAATAAAATACTCATATCTAAATTGCACACATATGTAATGAGAGTAATAGCTCAGAACTAGTACCTATTTGGATGCACTGGGAATCTGGCAGGGACGAAATACAATTTGTTCCTGTCCATTAGGGCTGGACAGGAACAAAAGGAAGAACTGACAAAGAACACAAGGGGAGACAGGTCTGTCCACACACAACTAATCACAAAGACAAGAGGGCAGCAGGTGAACACACTCATACAGTCAAACAGGCGGGAAAACAAAAGTGTGTAAAGAGCTAAATGGAAGGAGTCCAAAGCAAAAATCACTTCTTTGGTAAAAGGGAGGTTTTTTTGGTCACATGAATCGTGATTGCCAGAGGAGCTTGACATGCAAAGTCTGTGGTCAAACTCCCCCTGTACTCCACATGAAGAAGCAAGCAGCTCTGGAGTTGCAGAGGGAACCATGCAATGACCAGCCAACTGCAGTCACAACATGTGAACACACAGTGTGCTCCACTCATCATTCCTGTGAAGGTCACATACAAGCAAACATATCAGTTCTGCTCTAAACATTTTAAGAAGAGCCTGAATGCTGCAGGTAAAATAATTACTGCTACGCAAATTGAAGCAAGGAACAGTTGAGACGGCTTACTCATTGACTGGTTTGGAGGTTGCTGGCCTTGACAGCAGTGGTTTCTATCTGCTGCCAGATGTTGCCAGTGACGGCTGATGACATAGTGACACAGTAAGCTCTGGCTGAATGGCCACACCTGTCAAAGGTACGCATCCCAAGCATTGAAGTAACTGTGCACCTGTTGATTGGAACCAATGCTCCCAAGTAATTGGGACCATGGGAGGTGATAAAACAGGTGTGGAAATTCAAGCAGGACCATTCTGGGATGGTTCATTATGGTCAACTGCAGACAATGCGTCCAGAGGATTGAAAGTCGATGACTTGCTGGCTGGCAGCAGGTGAACTGAAGGGCCCAGCTTTCTTTGGAAGCCAGAAAGCCATGTTCCAGAGAACATCATGGAGGGTGTGGTGGAAACTTCTGAAGCAATGGAGACGAAACTCAGAGAGACACGGGAGAGCTGGAGCTTGAAGGCAAACACTGATGGTTTATTATGAGTTACGGCCGGAGAACTGATAAGACATGTTGAAACAGCAGTTGCCCGACCAATTCTGAAGATCTCTACTCCAGCCCCATGTATTTAGCTGGTTCAGCTAAATACATGCTGGTTCTGGGACAAAACACTGAGAGCAGCCCAAGGTCGCAGGCCTGTGCTCAGTGAGGGCAGTACCAACGGATAAACTGGGTCAAAGGTGTCCAAATATCAACAGAGGGTGGTATTCCATTGGACGGCTCAGAACTCAAAAATGACTTATCTGTGAATACTATAATTGCTAAGGACTCAACTTATGCTTCTGACCAACTCGGCATGTACTTCTCGGACTGAAGGAGGCTCAGGGTTGCAGTGTCCTGGTTCCTGTGTTTATTTGCTGTGCTTTGTATTGCAGCGTTTTGTTTGTGCAGCGCTTTGTGTAAACACTCCGCATGTTTGGTCAAGTTGGCAAATGTTTTTTAAAGACTGCCTGTATTGTCTGGTTGATGATGCTTCTTCTTTCTTTTTTTTTTAAAGCGCAGCGCATTTCTCTTGCTATGTAAGTGTTTTCGGACACCGTAAAGATAACAAATTAAAATGATTTTGAGACAAAGATACATGCTAAAAGAGTAAATAAAGCAAAACATTCTACATGCAAACGTGTGTGACTTGTTTGTTGTTCTAAATCCTGGGACGGGTAAAATATGCACAGACTCCGAGAATCAATCAAACAGAGCCTTTTCTTATCAAGCTCCACATTTGTGGAATCAGCTTCCAGTTTGTGTTCGGGCGGCAGACACCCTATCCGTTTGCACTTAAGACCTTCCTTTTTGATAAAGCTTATAGTTAGGGCTGATTAGATTCAGACCCTAGTTTAGCTGCGTAGGCTTAGACTGTCGGGGGACACCTTACTTCTTCCTTCTCTTTGTCTGTACCTGTGTACTCTCATGTTCCCAATAACCCAGCTTCCCCCAAATTTATTTTTGGTGTCTGTCTATGCCGGGATCCTGAGTCGTTGCTGATCCTGTTGCTGTGGTCCTGAGTCCTGGATCCTGAGTCCTGGATACTGAGTCCTGCATCCTGAGTCCTGGATCCTGAGTCCTGGATACTGAGTCCTGGATCCTGAGTCCTGGATCCTGAGTCCTGGATCCTGAGTCCTGCATCCTGAGCCCTGGATCCTGCATCCTGAGTCCTGGATCCTGAGTCGTGGCTGATCCTGTTGCTGTGGTCCTGAGTCCTGGATCCTGAGTCCTGGATACTGAGTCCTGCATCCTGAGTCCTGGATACTGAGTCCTGGATACTGAGTCGTGAATCCTGAGTCCTGGATCCTAAGTCCTGGATACTGAGTCGTGAATCCTGAGTCCTGGATCCTGAGTCCTGCATCCTGAGCCCTGGATCCTGCATCCTGAGTCCTGGATCCTGAGTCGTGGCTGATCCTGTTGCTGTGGTCCTGAGTCCTGGATCCTGAGTCCTGGATACTGAGTCGTGAATCCTGAGTGCTGGATCCTAAGTCCTGGATACTGAGTCGTGAATCCTGAGTCCTGGATCCTGAGTCCTGCATCCTGAGCCCTGGATCCTGCATCCTGAGTCCTGGATCCTGAGTCGTGGCTGATCCTGTTGCTGTGGTCCTGAGTCCTGGATCCTGAGTCCTGGATACTGAGTCCTGCATCCTGAGTCCTGGATCCTGAGTCCTGGATACTGAGTCGTGAATCCTGAGTCCTGGATCCTGAGTCCTGGATACTGAGTCGTGAATCCTGAGTCCTGGATCCTGAGTCCTGCATCCTGAGCCCTGGATCCTGCATCCTGAGTCCTGGATCCTGAGTCGTGGCTGATCCTGTTGCTGTGGTCCTGAGTCCTGGATCCTGAGTCCTGGATACTGAGTCCTGCATCCTGAGTCCTGGATCCTGAGTCCTGGATACTGAGTCGTGAATCCTGAGTCCTGGATCCTGAGTCCTGGATACTGAGTCGTGAATCCTGAGTCCTGGATCCTGAGTCCTGGATCCTGGATCCTGCATCCTGAGCCCTGGATCCTGCATCCTGAGTCCTGGATCCTGAGTCCTGGCTGATCCTGTTGCTGTGGTCCTGGATCCTGAGTCTTGGATCCTGAGTCCTGCATCCTGAGTCGTGGCTGATCCTGTTGCTGTGGTCCTGGATCCTGAGTCTTGGATCCTGAGTCCTGCATCCTGAGTCGTGGACTTCGAGTCGTGGCTGAACCTATCACTGTGGTCATGCCTGACTCTCATCATACTGCTTCCCTGATGGCTCCCACAGGATTGTGGACATCCTCGTGGATTCATCTTCTTATTATAGACACATGCATTTCCAAACATTCGGTCTACCTACGCTGTAAATGTATTATCTCTTTGATTTACACACGGCATCTATTGCACGTCTGTCCGTCCTGGGAGAGGGATCCCTCCTCTGTTGCTCTCCCTGAGGTTTCTCCCATGTTCCTTTAAACTGTGGGTTTTTCTCTGGAAGTGTTTCCTTGTACGATGTGAGGGTCTAAGGACAGAGGGTGTCGTATTGTCATACTGATATTCTGTACAAACTGTGAAGTCCACTGAGACAAATGTAACATTTGTGATATTGGGCTATATAAATAAACATTGATTGATTGATTGAACAATGACTTGGCTCAACGTAATAGCCCCCCTCTGCTCTCACACTTTTCATCCCCTTTTTTGTACAAACCCCAACACGAAACTGCATGTCTGCTTTTCTTTAATACATTACCAAACACAAGTGATCACGTCCTATCAGAGCCAGGTATTTATTTCCTAAAGAGGAAGGCCATTTTGGCTTCATGCACCACTGAGAAAATGTTTGTTAATGAACGGGCCTCGCCTCACACACTGATCCGGTTTCTCTTTATCCATGCATTGCCTGCTAGAGGGCTGGAATGGGCCTTTTGTTAGACCAGCCTCATACTGACTCAAAAGAGGATGTTAAACATGTTGTTATTTTCCAAGCAGGCTGTGCCATGATGAATCATAATCTGCATTATTTAGCTTATTGTATTTCTTTATTTCCTGACATGTATATAGTTTACTTCATCTGCATAGACATTGGTCTCGCAAAACATATATGTTGTTCTACTCTGTTTCTTCTTGCACTATCTTTATTTTCTTATTTGTTTTATTTACTATACAACTATTCTTCAGTGTTGGAGGAGCCTGGGACTTTAGATGTTCATTGCCATTTCTACAGTGTAGCTGCTGTGCACATGACAATGAAGCCTTGAATGTTGAAAGGAGTGTGTCTGTCTCCGTCACTCACCCTTCTTCCTGGCTTGCTAGAGGCATCTGGGAGAGCTTGGAGAGACTCTTGGCATAATCCTCTTCTATCTTTATCCTGAGAGGGAAGTCAAGAGTTTCAGTACCACACAGCCTTTACGCAATCTGCTTCATTCATGTGCCTTCCTGTGTTAGCAACACAGTGGTGTACATGAGCACAAGAAAAGGGGAACTTGTTTGTTTTTAATGACAACTGTATGGTTGTCATGGTAACCTGAGCATGACATGTGGAAGAAAAGACTGATACCTTTCTCTTATAAACTCTGCCATCTCTTTCTGGATTTGTTTCCCCTTCAGCTGTTTTTGCAGCAACACCTCAAACCCTGTGAGGCAGCTGGTGCCCTGGGGATCCTTCTTATCAGCCTAACAGATAAACACATCAACCACACAAGAAACACATTAAACAGGCAACAGCAGCAAAGACAAGAACAATACACCCAGAGCCAATGAACCTAGAGAAAAAAAAGTAATGCATTGATTAAGCTTTAACACATAAGTCAAGTCTGATTCTTTCTTGCATCACAGCAGCTCCATTTGCAACATCAACAAGGACAAATAGTGGGACCCAATATCTCAGACTTTGAAGGAAGACCAGGGATGTTCATTTGGTGATCAACTGGGCAAGAGGATCGTCTACACTGGTAGAATTTCCTTTTGAAAGGATTGGTTTTCTTTCTTTGGTTGCTAGTTATTTCTAATTCAGTAATTCGGTGTGTCATTTAAAAAAATGTTTCTTCCTCTGCTTCCTTCTGTTTCTCACCAAGTTTGGTTCAAGTTTTTTCTCCAAAAGGTGACCTTTTAAGATCAACACTCTTAGCTTAGACCACTTTTGTGTTAGGATATTGGACTTGATTTTGCTCTTGAGAAAAACTGCAGCCATGTTGTGTTCAGGGACAGAAGACATTTATAGTCTCTTAGTGCTGACGAGAACTTACCCAGAAGAAATCACAGTAGCTCCACTCGTTTGGTTTCAGCAGCTGCTGCTCCTGCATGCATGCAAGAGACGGGAACGTCACACAGTTAACCTGAGAGAGAGAGGGAGAGGGCGAGAGAGAGAGAGAGGGAAAGAAACAGATAAGGGAGAGAGAGAGGGAGGGAGAGAGAGAGGGAGGGAGAGAGGGAGGGGTCACTCAGCCATCAGAGCTGGACGGTCGGGGAACATCAACAGAATCTTATTCAGAATTCTTCAGCTTTACATTTACCAGTAAACAGAAAACACAAACAAATACATGTAAAGCAGAATCAAGCAGATGCCCACTGATAATTACCATTCCGTTTTAACGTTTTTTAACCACCTTAACCCTTTTCCACCAAGCTGGTTCTAGGGCCGGTTCAATGCCCGAGTGTTTCCACTGCAGAGGCCCCGGCTCTCAGTCTAAAAAATCAGTTCAACTGCGGCACTTACTGTTTGCTCAGCCAGCACAGAGAACCAGAGTCTGTGGAGCAACAACAGTTCATGGAGTAGAACGTTGGTGCAGAAGCATTGTTAACTAGAACATTCCGATGCTAACATTACCCCCGCTGAGTAAGTATTAATAGCATTAGTTGTATTGTTAAGGTACAACAAAGAATATCCATTCATTTTAGCTCACTTTTAGCTGACTATTTTAACTGTTTATCTATTACATCTTTGGATTCTTGTACCACATTCCTGCATCGTTTCTGAACATCTTTAGATTACCACTGGATTTAGTCAACGGCCGACAGGTGTGTTCAAAGATCAAAGCTCCTCTCCCCTCTAGCGGTGATGTCACCCACTCTAATGTCATGGTTTTATTTTGAAATTCTGTTCTCCCTGTGTCTGGTCTTCCTTCCTGTGTTTGCCCTCCTGTGTCTGATTGTCTTCACCTGTTGCCCTTGTGTTTCTGCCTCCCCTGCCCAGCTGTGTCTTGTCCTGTGATTACCCTTCTATGTATTTAGTCTTGTCTTCCCCTGTGCTCCATGTCGGATCGTCGTCGCTTCTTGTCCATGATACCTGTCAGTTTTTCTAGCCCATGTTACCTGTTCGTCTCTTCTAGCCCATGTTACCAGCTCGTCTTCCTTGTCTGTGTTACCTGCCTGTTCCCTTCTGTAAGTTTGTCCTGTTTCATGTGCTCCCCAGTTTGTTAGTGTTTAGTTGTTTGGTTGTTTTTTCAGTCATCGGCTTTTTTTTAATAAAGCTCGCCTTTTGTTACTTGACCTTTTTGTTTTTTTTAACTGCACTTGGGTCCTATTTTCCCCAAACCTGACAGTACGGTCAGACCAGTATGGACCCAGCAGTCATTTTTGAGAATGCTCTTGATGAGCTTTCGTACAAGATTTTATGCATTTTTGGAGTGTGGAGGAGGGCTCCTTGTAAAGAGGCTCAGGAGGCCGCTCTTTCACAAGCACGCCGGGAAGTGGCAGATAAGCCCTGGCTGAAAAGCTCACTGCCGGAGATGTTAAGGACATTTGTGACTTCCCCAGACAGTCTGCATGCCTGCCTCAAACCCCGTGCCCCAGCAGCCAAGCTTTTGGCTAGGGCCCCAGCACACAAGCGACCGGCCCGAGCCCAAACAGCCATGGTTACAGCCCCAGTTCTGGCCCCAGCAGCCATGGTTCTGGCCCCAGTTCCGGCCCCAGCAGCCATGGTTCCGGCCCCAGCAGCCATGGTTCCGGCCCCAGCAGCCATGGTTCCGGCCCCACTTCTGGCCCTGGCAGCCTCAAGTCCCTTCACCGTCGGGGGTCCCGCAGACTCATGTCCCTTCTTCATCGGGGGTCCCGCCTACTCAAGTCCCTTCTCAAGTCCCCTCTCCGTCGGTGGTCCCGCCGACTCAAGTCCCTTCTCAAGGCCCTTCTCAAGTCCCTTCTCCTTCGGGGACCCGCCGACTCAAGTCCCTTCACCGTCGGGGGTCCCGCCAACTCAAGTCCTGACTCATGTCCCTTATCCATTGGGGGTCCAGCCGACACCTGTTCCGTCGGGGGTCCTGCCAACTCCATGTCCTGTTTCGTTGGGGGTTCTGCTGGGGGTCCTGCCAACTCCAACACCTGTTTCGTCGGGGGTCCTGCCAACTCCATGTCCTGTTCCGTTGAGGGTCCAGCCAACACCTGTTTCGTCGGGGGTCCTGCCGACTCCATGTCCTATTTCGTTGGGGGTTCCGCTGGGGGTCCTGCCAACTCTGTGTCCTGTCCTGTTGGAGGTCCCGTCGACACCTGTTCCGCCGGGGTTCCTGCCAACACCATGTCCTGTCCTGTTCGGGGTCCCGCCGACACCTGTTCCGCCGAGGGTCCTGCCGACACCAGCCCTTGTTTCGTCGGGAACACCTGTTCCGGCAACACCATTGACTATCCCGCTGACACCTGTCCCGTCGACACCAGCCCTTGCTCCGTCCAGGGTCCCGTCTAAGCCTGTCCCGCCGGCTCCGGTTCCTGTCCGGCCAACCCCGGGTCCTGCCCATCCTCCGGAGCTGTCCCGCCTCCGTCCGGCCCGTCCTCGGGAGCTGTCCGGTAGCCGCCTTCTTGCCCGTCCTTGTGCCCGGCCCCCTGAGTTCCCCAGCCGCGGCCTTTGCCCTCGAATACACACTAATGTTAAACTCTGAAGAAGGCCTCTTTACCAGGCTCCAAACTAAGTTAAATATCTCTAGTGTACAAAATATCAAAAATGAATACAAGTTTAATAGCTGAATGTCTTGTGACCGTTTTAAAGTTGGAATGAAGTCTGTAGCTGAAAGTATGTGGAAGGAGTAGCATTTGGCGCACGGTGTAGCTAAAAGAGGATTTGAAGGTTCCTCCCATTGAGTTACATGTTAAAAAAAGAGTTTAAAAAGCCGAATATTTCAAAAAGTATAACATATTTTTAAAGAGTTGAAGGTTTCCCATCATGTGCTGAAAAAGCTGAATATTTTGATATTTGAATGGTTTCTGTAGCTGAAAGTATGTTGAAGTTATTGAGAGCCAAAAAACGTACGGAAGAACTGAACTAGAAAATGCATTTCCTTGCGAAAATGCGTGCGAATGCTGTAAGCCGCGTGTACATTTGTTGCTTTTTCTCAAAGCAATGATAAACCTGTGAGTTGGATGTAGAAAAGTCAGAATCAATATAGCATTTTTTTATTTTAAAGTCAATTCAGATTGAACATAGTAAAAAATTGTAAATGATAGTGTCCGTCCAAATAAATACATTACTTATAGTGAAAACCACCCTTGAATGATGGGTTAGTAGACTAAAAGCTTTAGGAATCTAAACTATAACATATAATAAGTACCCTGTATCAAGATTGATGCAAAACAAGTGACATTTGACTTTTTTAGAGAGGTTTAGCAAAAAAACAAACACCTCTGGGGTCATTTGGGTGGATTTGCCATTTCTATGGAACCCATTGGTCGATTTTGGTGGTGACATCTCTTTTGAACCGTTAGAATCGAAGGGGAAGTACCTAAATCCATCAACACGTTAACATTGAGGAGTTAGGGTGATGCGCACGCAGTTTGCCCAAACCGAAAGCTATGTTACGCTCTGAAAACTGATAACTGAAAACTAGGCTTATTGCTGATGGATTATCAGTAATCATTTCAGTGACACAGACACATTGGATTAATCTATGGAATAATCTTCAGCAGCGTTTTTATCGTTTTAATGCCATTGAACACAACCTTTGATCAGAAAAACAGCAAAGGTAAGACTAAAATAACAACCTATTAATGTGTCATACCCACTTAACGGGAAGAAACTCAGCTAACTGACGATATTAACAATTGTTACCTAAACAAAACACAACTCTAACGCTGAGCGTCTGAATTAGCACTAAGCGAAAGAGTGCTAACGCACTTAGCACATAACTCACAGTAGCAATATTTTATACTTGTTGAGATTCCACAGATTCCATTGGTATAAGTATCATCACTGTGCGACCAAAACTCACAGCAGCGAAGCCAGGAAAGACGACACACAACTTCACTTTACGGGGCCAAAGGGCAAATACGTCTTACCTTTGCTGTTTTCTGATCAAAAGGTTCATCCAATGTCTCTGTGTCACTTTGAAATGATTACTGATAATCCATCATAACATTTATGGCAATAAACCTAGTTTTCATATAGAGTGTAACAAGTCATAATTTCAAAGTTTAGCAAAAGAAAATGATTATGTTTTTAAAAATGCAATCTTCTTCAGCTGCCAATTCAGTTATGCATTACCATTGAAATGGAAAGGGAAAGAAACCACACATCTCAAAAGGAAAATAAATGAAAAATCTTTTCATTACAATTAAGATACAAATAGACCCAAGTTTAGCAAAGACTCTAGGGCAAACTAAAAGAGTTTTATCTTTTTTTAAATTCCTTCCACCTCACCTCAGGAAGCAAACACCCTGCAGCAAGGATGCAATGTTTCTTCTTCAGTGGCACCACAGACAGCTAATGACTTCTTCAGAGCCAGTATTCGGATTGGAAACAATAACTGGAGTTCAACCTTACCATGGTTTATACAGATTAATATGTGTCACTGCTGAGGTCCAGACATTGACAGCTGGAGTGGTTTCAACTGACCCCCCCCTCCTCTGGTGGAGACCAGGGCAAAGCTACTCCCAACATTCTCAAGTGAGGTCTTTGGATTGTTTGCAAATCTGCTAGTGACAGAGCTTTTTCTACTTCTATCTGAAAATCAAGTAAATCTGACACCGAAATCCATATAAACTGCATATGTACCATGCTTGATACAACACAAATGTAAGGATCCTTAACAATATGTAATACATGTTCACTTTATTATGGAAATCACCCTGTTCAATCTTCTGCATTTAGACACAAACTGTTATTTAAAGAAATACTGAATCCATGAATTGTAAAATAATTACCTGTACTGCCCCCTTAGTGTCAAAGAGCCTCTGATCTTGGACTAAATAGCTAAATATATGCAGGAAAAATATCTGCTCTTTATCATCATGCTAATCTCAAGGAATTCCATGTTAGTCAACCTAGAAAATGTCTCCAGCTTGTGGTTTTAAACTAAGACCGAAACAATACTGAAGCCTTTCTCTGATGGGATCAATTGTGTTCCTTCAGGGCTACTGTAGAGAGGCAGGGAGGGGTCAGGGGGGGTTCAGAGTTCACACTCACCGTGACTGTAGTTTCCTTGTTCTGTTTCCTGGTGGCCGATGTTGATCCTGGGCTCTGCAGAGAGAAGGACACTCTGTCAAAACCTCTGTCAGACATGACCGCTACACACACACACACACACACACACACACACACACACACACACACACACACACACACACACACACACACACACACACACACACACACACACACACACACACACACACACACACACACAGAGATGATAAGTTATTAGTCATTTACTGTGTTCTGAGTAAACTTTTTCTCCACCAAGACACGGCGAGGGCTTGGGATGGAGACTTATGGCACGTTTCCACTACACGGCCTCGCTCGGTATGGCTAGGCCTCGTTAGGACTGGCTCACTTTATGGCGCATTTCCATTACAGTTTAGGAACTGGGGTAGTATCTATAGTAACGCAGTGTAGGCGGAGCCGTGACGTGATCTTCAATGAGAACCCCAGAAAAACAACACAGCCGTTAGCTGTTAGCACTCAGAGCTCACAGCTCACAGCTCCTCATATCTGTTCAGAAACTAGACAAAAGTTAAACAAGTACACACCACAGACTGCCTGTGTCATGGTGAATACAGTCGCTGCTTTATTTATGTCTGTATAGGCCGTTGTTGTGAGTGTGGACGGTCGGAGCATATACTGCGTTAGCTTAGCCAATCTCCATTTAGAACACACGCATTTTAAAAGGTTTTTCGCCTGCCGTCTGTCTGCAGACTTGTCAAAGCATTAATTCATGGTTTTTACTAACCGGTATCAGTATGTTGTTACTTCGGCATCATTTTGAAACGTGTATTACAATTAAATCACGGTCAAATATGTCCATCTTGTTGTAGTTGTAGCCCCCTTGCCAGCGATTCTCTCTCTAGTTTAGCATATTCAGCCCGACTCAGCCTCGTTGTCTCTGGCCCTAGAGCCACGATTTTATGAGGCCAGAAAAACTGTGAATTAGGACCCGCCGGCCGGTACTAGGCCAAGTGGAAACACAACCAAAGACGGGCCGCTGACGTCACAGCTCTCTTAAACCGTGCTCCGCGCTGTAGTGGAAACGCGCCATAAAGCTTTAAAACACTTTAGATCATCAAGGTCTTATGATGGTACCGACAAAATTGGAAGTTGGTTGGATGAAATCCGTAGGAGGAGCTTGTTCAAATGCGGCATGTGAAAAGTAAAAAATGGCCAAGGACTGCACATAAAATTGAAAATGTGATGAGATTCTTGGAGCAAAGAACCGGAACACAAGGAGCACACAGGAGAGCTGGAACTGAGGTCAGACAGACACTGAGGATGTATTAGTGACAGAGCCCCTGCCCAAGCAACTCTAAGTTCTCAAAAGCTCAGAAGATGACTAACTTCCTGTTGGATTAACAATACTGCTGAGAGGCTGCCTGTTAGCAACTTTGTAGGGGGCGCTATAGAGCTATTTGCCCACACCCCAAGAAAGAGACCCTTGAAATATCACATTCTTGAAACAGACAGCAGAAGAAAAGCTGGTCAACCCCCTGAGAATGATGCTAAGGTAAATGTCTGTCCCTGGGCCCTAAGCTTTCTGAAAGGCGGCCCTTAAACAGTGTATTTTAATAGTCCTGGAAATTGTGAGAGCTAAAATAAATCTTATTAATAAGCCAAATATTTCATCAAGCTCCACAGCGTCTGTGTGTCGTCTGGCAACCAGCTTGCTATTTTCCTGAAGAACTGCATTGATTGGCAAAAACTGATTCGTTTTCAACAAATTATTGATTTTTTCACTTTTCTGTGTGTTTATATTAGCGAACCTTACAGATCTGCGTAGTAACTGTTTAGTAAAGGCAATTCGCTTATCTGTCTAACACAAAGTAACGTATGACCTCCTGAGGCCAAATCGGGTAATTCAAGCAATTGTGGCAACTGTGGCTGTGAGGCAGTGCAGGTCGTTCTTCCATTGGAAGGTTGTGGGTTTGATCCCAGCCCCTGCAGTTGATGCTCCCTGTATAAAGCGCTACATATATGCAGTCCATTTACCATGTGTGTCAGCCCCATAAAGCTCATTGGGTGAGGTTTGACCAGTGGTAGAGGAAAAGGATTTGTTTGAATAGTTAAACGGCTTTACCTGTGGCTCTGAACTGCTTTTCCTAACCACACTGTTGTGTGAATGTTCCACATGATGCAACGGACTACCACTTGAGTGAAATCCATTTACTGGAGAGAAATGAGAGAAAGAGGGTGAGAGGGAAAGAGAAAGACATGTCCTTAGTTATTTGGTGCTGATTGGCTGTAACCTTTGCTGATCCAGGATGAACGTTTCCTTCTCGTTGTGTGTATATTACTGTATGTCTTATATGAGGCAAGCGCAGATAAATAATAGAGATCTTGATTGGGTTCCACTAACTATTCATAAATTCACCAATAAGTTTGGTGCAAAGTCTTTCCTAAATATTTAGCAACTGATGAAAACGTAACCAACAGAAATGGAGGAGGCCTCCCAGCAGGGCAGAGATGAGTCACAGGAAGTGTGTCTGCTGAACAGGGTGCTGACACACTGCAGGCCCTACCTGTTGGCAGGGGGGGTCTGTGGCAGAGGCAGGTGTTTGGGGTCCCAGGGACACTGGACGGTCTCTCCCATGTCGTCTCTGATGGAGTGTTAAGGAGAAGGGGGGGACATTAGGAAACCGGAATGCCTACCAGCCTACTCTTGTCACAGTGTTCACATTGAAAGTGAATGGTTGCATATTTGGCACTTCAGTCAGCAGTTAAACAGATCTTACAGTGTTCCACATTTCTTTCACTTTGGAGTGGGTTCTGTGGGTCGCGAATGGATGCGATGAACGGGAGATTATTATGATTATTTTCTTTTAAATACATTTTTTGGACCTAAGGCCGGAATCGAACCTGGCTCCTCGCGGGCGGTAGTGGACTGTTACAGCCGGAGACTTGCAACGGCGGTGGACTTTCACAGCGCCGCTGGGTGTTTGCGGCGGTGGATGCGGTACCGGCGCAGCGGCGCTGTGAAAGTCCACGGCCCACCTATGCCAGAGCCAGCGGCCTACCGAAGGCAGCAGCCCACCAATGGCAGCGGCCCACCAGGAAAAGTCCCGATACTCCCGATGGCCAATCCGAGCCTGCTCACAAACACACAACTGAAACTAAAATCATTTACAGACATATGTAAAAATCTCTCACACACACACACACACACACACACACACACACACACACACACACACACACACACACACACACACAACAGCGTTGCAGTCTGGAAGAAAAGCGATGTGGAGCGGCACCTCACCACTTCATAAGGAGTTTAACCGTGACACTTTTTGAAATCCCGTTTGTGTCCCACTTTACAAATAGGCCTATGTTTATTATTATTTTTTAGCGCAAGCCGTCATCGCCACGGAGGAGCACACAGCCTCTGTGAGCGAGCAGGACAGAGAGAGAGAGAGAGAGAGAGAGAGAGAGAGAGAGAGAGAGAGAGAGAGAGAGAGAGAGAGAGAGAGAGAGAGAGAGAGAGAGAGAGAGAGAGAGAGCACACCTTTATCTATTTAATATAGCCTGTTGTAAAAAATAAAGTAAGAAATCATTCCAATGTGTACTATAGGACAGCAAAAACAGTTTGAAAGGGGAGTGATTAGTAAAATAAGCATAAATAAAGAGAAAGAATGCTAACTAGGTAACATAAGATAAGAATAAACCAGTTTAAATGATTTGTTATTGGTTGTGATCATATTCTAAAGATGTTTGGATTATTGAAAAGTATACAGCTCTCTTTCATCTGAGTGTTGAGAGCTGTATCCATCAATTCATGTTGTGCTCAAAGTGCTCCAGATTGATGCATTTCACTTCAACATTTAAAAAAACATCTTCCCGGGGGTGCATGCCCCCGGACCCCCCTAGAGGAAGCGAGGTCCCCCCCAAATAAAGCAGGTTAAAATAGTTAAATTGAATACATTTTCTTTTAGTAAACACTGTTTGGGTCCCACAGACCCAAACAGCACACAAAGGTTAAAGGTCAGCATATCATAATGTTAAAATGTGCTAAATATATACACTGCAAAAAACAAAAAAAAGAGGAGTAAAAGTAGCTCACGATTTGTTTTATTTTTTGAAAGTAGCTCTCATCCTAAAAAAGGTTGGAGACCCCTGGTATAGAACGATACATTTGACAATTTTAAGCTTGGCCTACCATTTGATTGGAGCGATGAGGAACAGGTGGGGCTTGAAAAGGCCCACCTGTTCAAAGTGGGGAATGACAGAACAAGTTTGAGAACCACTGCCCTAACCACTCGGTTGCAAGTCAGCAGTTGTGTGACGCATTTCATTTGTCCATTCTTAATCAATGTATTTGTTTTTTTTGTGTTGTTGTATAACGCTAAGCACATATAATTTTATAATCGTATATTAATACACACACACAGTACAAAAACACACATGCATTGGAATACAGGTGACATATAGGTGCATGCATTTTAGAGAGGTGCCAAAGCAAAGATCCTGCCAGGAGCGATTTTTGGTCCGATGGGGGCGTGACCTGAAGCCACTGCCGCCCCTAACTATAATAATATATCATAATAATATAATAACAGCCTTAACTCACTGGCTCTAAAGACATAATATTCCTCTCCATTAAATTGTAATAAAACTCAATATTTTAAGAAATATAGGGTACTAATGCAAAGACATACATCATAATCTACTTACCTCAGAGAAAGTCCTACATTGTGTGACTTGCCAAAGGGAAAGCAGTAAAAATCCCATTAAAAACAAATATTTATATCACAATTAAAGACAGTTTTCTGAAAGTTGGCCAAACTGAGCATATATGATAAAAGTTTATATTTATACAGTTGAGAGATCGGATTCATAGCTTCAGATACTGTGATGCAAATGTAGCAGAAGCAGGGAGGATTTCAGCCAGCTTTTAACAGACCAGCTGAGGTCTGAAAGGTTGTCCATCCTTAATAGTCTTGATGAAGGAATATATACCATACTCATAATGTATGAGTGTACATTTGAATTAAATGGATGTAAATTACTCGGGCTGCCACCAAGTAGTCGACTGAATGATAGTCTACATATCCACGCCATCTTCCCGAAAGCCAGCTTCATTGCAGAACATGGAGCTTGGGGGTTTTCTGTGCCCTCAGCAAAAATGTTTAGGAGCCAGGATATAGATTCTGCTGCTGTTTTAATTAACATGCAGAAGAAAAAAGAAGAAACAAACTATTTATTTCTCTCTGAGGAACTCGTTTGTTCTAGCGCACGTCTAGCTTTGGGAAATGATCCTTCTCCTGCTTAAAGGTGGGGTAGGTAAGTTTGAGAAACCGGCTCGAGATCGCTAGAATTTGAAAATACACAACCGGAAAAAATCTGCCACTTCCTTACAGAGCCCCTCCTCCAACACACACAAACGCACACATGACCAATGAGGGCACGAGATAAGTTTGTGCACAGATGGAAGGCTGACAGGCAGGTAGGCCATCCAGTTATTTTAGCCGGGCCGGCTCAGATGATTGGTCGTGCTTTTTACAGTACTACGGCTTCCACAGATGACATTTTTTTATGGATTTTTTGTCAAAGCACTTAAGATATTCATTGCTATCGGGATGTTAAGAGCATTCCATGGAATATAACAAAAAGTGTATCTCGAGCCGGTTTCTCAAACTTACCTACCCCACCTTTAAGGTAAGCCCATAAACCTTGTTACAAGAAAAAAAAAAGGAGATCTGAGGAAACCCTCCCAGTTTAACATTACGACAGGAGTTTTTAGTTAATCGTTTAACGGTCACATGCATTCCGGGGGCCAGAGCGGGCGATGTTGAGGCGCATCTTAAACTGCTGGCTAAGAATAAACGTAAATACAGTAGGATTGTTATTCACGTCGGTGGTAATGATGTTCGTTTACGCCAATCAGAATGCACCAAAGTTAATGTGGCGTCTGTGTGTAGTTATGCTAAAACAATGTCGGACACCGTAATTTTCTCTGGTCCCCTCCCCAATCTGATCAATGACGACATGTCATAATTTCAGCGCTGGTTGTCTTGGTGGTGTCCAGCAAACTATGTGGGCTTCGTAAATAATTGGACAGCCTTCAGGGGAAAACCTGATCTGATTAAGAGAGACGGCATTCATCCTACTCTGGAAGGTGCAGATCTCATTTCGGCAAATATTTCAGAGCTTTGTGGACCTAATCCATGACCAGAGATGGGGTCGTTACTCAAAAAAAGTAATATATTACATATTACTTATTACTTTAAAAAAATAATATATATATTACTTTACTTCGTTACTCTCTACATAAAGTAACGCGTTACTTTACTTGTTACTTTACTTGTTACTGTACTCGCAGGGCCGCCCCTCCCTACAGGCAGATCACGCAGACTGCGGAGGGTGCTTCATTTTGCGGAGGGAGCCTCATCTGAAGCGCAAATGCGGCGCACCTACAGTGTAAGCGCGCCACAGTTTTCGGCGCTGAGAGGCTCCACTAGCACCACTACCCACCCCCCCCATAGAGGTGTCATTCATAATAACCTAATAAAAGTAAATGTAACAACTACTACAGTGCAACAAAACAGGAAGATAAGATCTCTAGCATCTAAAGCAATATTGGTAAATGATTTAATATCAGATTATAATATTGATATATGCTGTCTCACTGAAACTTGGTTGAGACCAAGCGGCAAACTCTGGGGAAGAGCCGGGACGCCAATACGGAAGTGCCACAAACAGCAGTTCATATATTGGCCGATAGGCGCTGACTGCAGAAAGGAGCAATTTCCATAGACCCCCATGTTAAAATGCCAATTTTTACAGCAGAAAAAAACATGTTTCTAGCCCTGGATGCAATAAATATTATTATGGATATAGTTAGATTCCACCTTCATGATTATGAATCTGTGAGTGAATTGTTTTCTAACGCGACCCTTTTATTTATATTAGGTCTTAAAGTTTTTGCATAAATTAGGGCGTGGTCACATTGAGTGACTGCTGCTGTAAGCTTCTTGTCTTCTTGTCTCTCTGCTAGCTACCCCGGCCGTGTTTGTTTGTTCTTCATGCTTATATATCGGACTATTGTGACTCGCTCTGCGGTTAAAACAGACGGTGCATGAATGCGGTTTTGCGGTAAGTGAAATTCGAGTACTTTATTTATGTGTTTTATGATTTTAATCAGCTACGTAATGAATGTTAAGGCTTGGGTTAGCGTGTAAGCGAGTGGTAGCTACATCGGTGCTAACGATGCTATTCGTAGCCTGCAAGTTAAAACCATAGACTGTATATATAAAGGTTAAAACGAAATAGACAAGTGTTAAGCGTTAAGTGGGATAATACTGTAGAACAAAAGGCTTCTGTTTGAGGTTGATAAAATAAGGTCATTCTTGTAACTTAGAGAGATATTTTATTATGTAGGTAGTAACTTTATGCATCGCTAAGGTTCATTTAAATTGGCTATGCTCAAGTATGTAGACAAGCTAACGTCGAAGTAGTGTATGTGAAATCAACCTCACAATAAGATGTGTGTATATTACAATTATTAATGTCATATTTCAAGATGATTACTTAGATATTACAATATGGTTGGTTGAGCTGGAGTTCATTATTGAGCTTACACGTTAACATCACAGTCATCTGA